GGGTTGTAGTAGGTTTACTAGTAGGAGTTGGTGTTGTTGTAGGTTTACTAGTAGGAGTTGGGGTTGTAGTAGGTTTACTAGTTGGAGTTGGTGTTGTAGTAGGTTTACTAGTTGGAGTTGGTGTTGTTGTAGGTTTACTAGTAGGAGTTGGTGTTGTAGTAGGCTTACTAGTAGGAGTTGGTGTTGTAGTAGGTTTACTAGTAGGAGTTGGTGTTGTTGTAGGTTTACTAGTAGGAGTTGGTGTTGTTGTAGGTTTACTAGTAGGAGTTGGTGTTGTAGTAGGTTTACTAGTAGGAGTTGGTGTTGTAGTAGGTTTACTAGTAGGAGTTGGTGTTGTTGTAGGCTTACTAGTAGGAGTTGGTGTTGTTGTAGGTTTACTAGTAGGAGTTGGTGTTGTAGTAGGTTTACTAGTTGGAGTTGGTGTTGTAGTAGGTTTACTAGTTGGAGTTGGTGTTGTAGTAGGTTTACTAGTTGGTGTTGGTGTTGTAGTAGGTTTACTAGTTGGAGTTGGTGTTGTAGTAGGTTTACTAGTTGGAGTTGGTGTTGTAGTAGGCTTACTAGTAGGAGTTGGTGTTGTAGTAGGTTTACTAGTTGGTGTTGGTGTTGTTGTAGGTTTACTAGTAGGTGTTGGTGTTGTTGTAGGTTTACTAGTTGGAGTTGGTGTCGTAGTAGGTTTACTAGTAGGAGTTGGTGTTGTTGTAGGTTTACTAGTAGGAGTTGGTGTTGTAGTAGGTTTACTAGTTGGAGTTGGTGTTGTAGTAGGTTTACTAGTAGGAGTTGGTGTTGTTGTAGGTTTACTAGTTGGAGTAGGTGTTGTTGTAGGTTTACTTGTTGGAGTTGGAGTTGGTGTTGTTGTAGGTTTACTAGATGGAGTTGGTGTTGGAGTTGGTGTCGTAGTAGGTTTACTAGTAGTTGGAGTTGGTGTTGTAGTAGGTGTACTTGTTGGTGTTGGTGTAGTAGGTGTACTAGTAGGGGTTGGTGTTGCAGTAGGCGTACCAGTTGGTTGTGGTGTGCAACAGTCACATATACATGTTCCGTTATAGAAATAATGATCTTCTGGACAATGACATCCTTCTACGCATTGGTATTCTCCACAAATATCTTTATCGGGAAAAGATTGCTCTGTCGTAGAACAAATTTTTCCGCATGGACTGTATTCGGTTCCATGAGTACATTGGACTGGACACAAATTTTCGGATCTCCATGACACGTGTACTCCTTTCTGATTACATTCCTGAGCATAGGCAGCAATTGCAGTACATAAGCAATCACAGTCGCCGCCATAGTCACATCCACAAGCATCTTGTAAGCAACTTTTATAGAAAGCATTGGAATCAACTTTTGCATGGCAGGACTTGAAAAGGGGTCCGTTGATAATACTGCATTTTAAATGAGCCCAATCGTAGCGATGCGGATTGATTTTGCATGTATCCCTGTTAATATCTTCAACAACATCACTGCATGATTCATCAACTTTCCAACTATTTGCAAAATCGTCAACCCTACTCTCAAGCATATTATTTCTTGACTTCAAGTCGTTTCCTCCGTTACCATCAAAGTTACCACACAACCCACACATCAATCCTTTATAATCAGGGCTAAGTCGGACGTAAACTCGAAGAGCACCATCCCACATAACACTAAACCCAAGACTTGATTTGACAATGACAAATAAACCAGCTTTCAAAATTGTAACATTATTTTGTATTTTAGGCAATGATATCTCCACACCATCGATGGTAATTAACCGACCACGCATTAGATGGATCGTCATGTTGCCAATACTTATAGTTACAGCTTTTGTACATGTAGAGCCACTGACACCACATGGTATGTTCTCGACAGTTATTTCGAAATTATTATTATTACATGGTTTCGATAGGACATAGCTGCATTTACCGCTAAATGTATAACGCAACCCATCGTATGTTGCATAATGCGGATCTCCAGTTGCTGAACAAATTCCAGCGCAATCTTTCTTTGTACAAGACCATTTCTTTCCAATACACGTACAGTTGTTACAATCACGCTGAATTACCTCACCAGGAAGGTAGTGCTTACCACCATCATGGCAAGGACATGCAGACCTGTTTACACAAGTTTTAGTGTCCTCATTTAAAACTAGTCCAGCAGGACATTTACATCCTTCAGTACATACACTGGAAGCAACACATTCATGATCAAAATTTTCGCAAGTGGGATCACATAGCGTGGTACAATTGCTGTAGACTTGATTATTTGGACATAAATTATCGCAATCTATATCGCTACAAATCCATCGCCCTCCACTACATAGACAGCTGCTACATGTTGAATTACGCCTAGAGCCAGGTTCGTATGTGATTCCTTGATGACTACAAGGGCATTCTGCAGGTATTACACAAGTATTGTTATTGTTAAGTACTGTACCTGACGGACAGCTACATCCAGCTGTACACTTATTTGAACACACATCCAAATCACTAGCGATTTCAGCGCAGGTTCGGTCGCAAGATGATCCACATTCATTATAAACTTGACCAACAGGACATTGCTTTATACAGTTACTAGCATTTCTCCAGTCTAATAACATCCCTTTTATACTGCACTCTCTAGCATATTCAGCTAAAGCCGGGCATAAACAATCTTGGTTACTACAACTGCATACAGCAGATAAGCAATTATCATAATAGTAGTCTGGATTAACAACAGAATGACAAGGCGTAAAGGCGTCACCATTTTTGATAATGCTACACATATTTTCAGCAGGAACTTTACGTTGTAGAGATACCTGACAAGGGTCAGGCGCTGTAACAGAAGGATCAACATCTTGACATGCACTGTCAACTTTCCATGTGTTAGCAAATTGTATCGGTGATGACTCAACATTGTCTTCTAGCGTAGTGTAATCGTCGTTTTGATTACCGTTAAAAATACCGCATAAACCTCGAGTTTTGTCATAAAATGCAGAACTTACAGTTACATAAGTACTAGAATCACCATTCCATGTTAATTCTAATCCAATTTTTGCATGAAAAGAAATGAGAGAAGCAGTCGCACTTTTAACTGTTACAGCTTCAGTAAAGTAAGGCAATGTTACTAATTGATTATTGACCATGACAGTTTGATTCTTTTTCAAGATAAAGGTATCATTTGATAATTTAATCTTTAAAGATTCTGTACACGTTGAAAGATCATGTAATCCACACGGATAAATCTTTATAGTGACTGTAAATTTCTTATCAAGATCTTGCGCCAAGTAGTATTCACAATTACCATGAAACTTGTAACGCAACTTGTCAAACGTTATAAAATTGCCACCTCTAAGTGAAGAACAGGTACTATCGCATGTTTTCTTCGTACACTCCCACAAGCCATCTTTACAAGTGCTAATTATAAAATGTAACGAGTAAATATATCAGTACAATTGAAAAGTAGCTGTACTATACGATCTATACAGTAATACTGCCTTCGCTAAAACATTAAAAGTATGTCTTACGACAATAACATTACTATCAATTTGCGTATCATCTATAATAATCAATTGATATTACTAGACATTCTATCGACCGATTAGTTCCTATTTATGAAGTGATAATTTACACTCACCAATTATTGCAGTCTTGCTTTAGTACAGCTCCAGGCATGTAATTTAGCTTGTTGTGGACACACGGACAACTGGCTACATCAATACAACTACTATCATGTAAAACTTTATTTGGTGGACATTCACAACCATCGTAGCAGTCACTGTTACACTGGCTGGAGTTCGATGCTCTTCTGGTACACGTTAAAGGGCACATCGACGCACACTCATTGAAAATCATTCCAGAGCTACATTGTTTAGGACAAAAATCTGGTGTACGCCAAGATAGATTACGAGCCCCTAAACGAACACATTTACGGCTATACTCTGTTAATGCATTACAAGCACAAACTGAAGAGTTGCTAGCATTGCAAGAACAAACATCTTCTAAACACCAATGATAGTAATCTTCCGCAGCCACTAAGGGATGACAGGCTTTAAAAGCGTCAGAATAAATCTTACTACAAACTTGTTGAGCAGTAGCAACCAAAGAAGAGTTGGGTTGACATGCTGATGACCGATCGGCAACATCAGGGCACGATTCACCGTATTCATTCGCTTTCCAGCTATTACCAAACGTTGCAGCAGATGTAACGACAGTACTGGTACTAGTAGTAAAGTCATTGTTAGGTTGATTATCGTAGCTTCCACAAAGACCACATAACTTATTCATTTTAGTCTTTTCAACGGTAACATAAACAGACGATTGACCGTCCCATTTAACACGAAAACCAAGACCACATGAAAAGTATAAATGGTTACCATGACTGCCAATACTTACACCATTGCCGCTATAAGGTACAGTAACTAATGCACCGTTAACTCGTACTAACTGTGGCGGTTCGAATTTGACCTTCAATGATTCTCCTATAAAAATAGTTACATTACGTGGACAACTTACTAGTCCAGTACAAGGAATAGATCTAGTTTGAACGGCGAAGCTATTATCGACACAATCTTGGACTAAATTGTAATTGCAAAGACCATGAAAATCGTAATTAGTGCCATCGAAAGTTTGATAATGAGACTGTCCCCACGCAACACAAGTTGCAGAATCAGTGTAGACGGCGTGTGTTGGTGCACCTACAAATATAAAAAAAGTTCTATTGATTTAAAACTACTATGTAAAATGAGCTAGTGTAAAAGCTAGACTATTAATCACTATCTAATCCAGTACCGTCGGTACTACAATAGTGTCCAAATGTTCAACACACTCATAATTGGTAATAAATACGTATTATTATCTCCTGACTATAGAAATACTGTACATATATAGATAGATAGATAGATTGGCATCACCTACGACAATATGATCGAGAAATGTTAACACTTTCGTTTGCAAGTAGAGTTATTAATAGAGGTTAGTACAAACGAAAAGATTAATAACTCCAAATGATAAACGATAGCTGATCTATAGCAATATGGATGCCGTAATCAAGTATGAATGTGCTATGTGTAATTTTATTATAAGAATAAGAATAATTCTATTTTCAACAATCTATTCTAAAGTACTTTTTTAAGGCAGTACCTGTTGTGTAAACTTCACGCGGCATGAAGGCCTGATTGTCGTAACGTGAAGAAACATCAACGAAACCATGACACGGTTGACAATGACTTCCCCATGCCATACCCTTAAACTTTTTACAACAGTCATTCTTCGATAGAGATCTGCTGTAAGGGTTACTGCAATTTCCTTTGGTGTAATTATGATAGCAAATGCCGATGTCAATCCCTAGAATAATCATATTATTACAGAATGATTAGTATAACCAATGCTATAAAAAGTATAAAATTGAAAGCTTTAAAAGGGAATAAATTCCAATCGAACGAGTACATCTACGTTTGCAAAAGTTTTAATGGTTCCTACTCTTACCAGTTAGCTTTCTACTTCTATAGTAGTTACTTTTAGACTCTAGTATTGTAGTTTAATTTTTTGTATGAAAAATACGTGTACTGTATGGTGTATATGACATATACTGTATATATATATATAAACGTACTAATTGAGCAATCGTCTCCACTGAATCCGGGTGCGCATGTACATTTGTTTGGTCCAGTACACTTTCCTCCATTTACGCAGGGAAAATCGCAAAGAGCTGAGAGAAAAATAAACAACTTCACTTACTTCAACTCCATTAAAAGAATTAGCACGTACCATGTACGCACTCCAATAAGATAGAAAATGAATAACATCTACTACATGGAATACATTTGTATCAATTCATCGCAATATTTAAATGACAAATTGACTGAATGAATCGGTCCATTTAAATAAGTTATAATTATTGCACTATAATGCTTGATCTACTGTATAGTGTACAGTACAGTACAGTAAGTTATACTGTCAATGTGCGTACTGTCCTGCAAGTTCAATTATTTTAGACTAATAGACAGACTTGATCCATAATTTCCTTAAAGAGATTAAAATTGAAGTCTAGGATAAGTACTCCTATCTTATTTTAAGTTATGGCATTTACTATTTACAAAGAACTAATTCAGTATTAACTCAGCTCACTGTCCTATTTTAAAAAAATTAATTTGACAACAGCCATTGAATATGCGTAAACCTACAGTATGCAATGATTGCAATCAACTGCACTGACTGTCACCTTGAAAAGATTGCCTCAAGTGTAGTGTACTGTACTGTAATAATCATGGATGTATATAGTACGACTTGAAAAAAGATGAGAAGATTGCTGCTTTACATTGTATTTTTGATATTCCACTGCAACTACTACATAGTATATGTTTCGTACTTCACCAAGCTGCTATAAAGTAACACTAAGGTATGCTTGCTAATCGCAGTGGAAAAGATGGCATCTATCCTGTCCAATACTTTCCATTGCAAAGTCAACATTACAGCAATTGGCAAAAAGACACTCATGACTTACGTATGGCACAGATCTCGCCAGTAAATTCAGTTGGACATTTACACTTGTTTGGCCCAATGCAAGTACCTCCGTTTAAGCAGCCAGAGTTGCATACAGCTAAGAAAAAAACGGACAAAATGGCAGCCCGCGTTTAGAAATACTCGCTGAAATTGATTGGCTTTACACAGGTATAGTGAATATCTTTTTTAAACCTTTTCTAAGGCCGGTCAAAATGCTGCCTACAGTAAGACTATAGTCTACAGAACGTACCACAGTACGCTATACTATAGCCAATAAAAAACGAGAGCTGAGATTGCTGGCTTTCGCTTGTGACGTCAATTTTTTTCTTGACGGTAACGAACGGTCATGGATACCTAAGCCATACTGTACAGTATAGACATAGACTACTATAGACTACAGTATCGTAACTTAGGTATAATATGGGTATCATGATAGCGATACAGCAAAGTGCGATACCGTACTATACCGACGGACCGATGGCACTCCTCCCAGCTCCTGACGGTCATTGTACTGTACCGTACCGTACAGTACAATGTAGCGTTGAAAGTATCAACTGTACAGTACTGTATTACTGTAAGCACGTGCCGCTAACACGTGTTGCAGCAGCACGTGGCTTTCAGCCAGGGAGCTAAAAGCGATCTCCCTGCTTTAATCAATGAATCAAAATCAATCAACTGAAAGTCTCGAATACATTTACTACTGCAATGGCATTATGGTAACAGCACTATCACTCCTACGCGAATCCGGTCGCCATGACTTCTTGCTTTTAAAATAGTCCATTTATATTAATCGATGTTTAATTAATTCTATGTCTGCAATCGACTGAATGTAGACAGCTTAATCGCTACTGCTCTTACGTGTTTCACAAGTCTTGCCAGTATAGCCTTTTAGACAAGTGCAATTATTAGGGCCAACGCAGGCGCCATGGACACACGCCGGTTGACATTCGGCTGCAAAATGAATGCAAAAAAATATTGTATAAACTTATTCAGTAGGCAAAAACAAGATGCACATAACACTGGTTCACAGAGGTTTTCCATTAGCGGAATACGCTGCTATATTTAAGTATAGTCGGCAATGTCTGCAGTAAATAGTCCAAATCGTAATCGTTTACTAGATGTGTAAGTGTAGCAATTAACATTCAAAAGAGAACAATTTAGATGTATTATATACTGTAGTATAATTCAGTAGCAACGGTGTAGAGGTACCTTATGGACAGTAAGTCAATCTTTAATGCAATGATGCATTAATTCCGATAAACAAAAATTTAGAAATCGTATCTCAATTTCTCGATGAAATTACGATTAACTGACAGTATTATAAAGGTTCAATACTGGTACATTAGTACTGCTATGGATCCATTTTTTTAAATGAAGCCAATAGTACTTGTCCACTTATAAAAAAATCTCCAGCCCTATTACACTGCATACGCGGTCATATCATTGTCAGCTTGACCGACTACTTACATTGCAAACATTTTGGTCCTTGCCATCCTGGGCAACATTTATGGATAGTTTTCTTTAATAATCCAAAAACGGTAATATTTTCCGATTTATACTCAGTCCTGATAGAAAGAAAATAATTTGTCTTATGGATAGCATGGCTCGATCAACGGTTGCAACGATTAATTACGCTTGAACATCAGAAAGACCACCATATCCCTAAAAATTCAAGAAAATTAAAAAGCTAAAACATGTCGAGAAATACCTGTTAACAATCAGGTGGATTCCATTATCTTTGAGAATATAATCGGTTTTGCTATTATAATGCTGGCGAAAGATGGTTTTCACGGCATAATGTTTAACTGTAATGGAGGTATTATACTTTTCTTTAACGTATTTCGTCTCATTACACCATTTCTGGCGGGATAGTATCATAATCGATTGTTTATCTTCATCTTCAGATCTGGTCCTACCGATAAATCATTTTAATTAGAATATAAATATAAAAAACGGCAGCAAACACGATCATCGATTGCAAATTCAATAAAACACCGATACACGTAGTCCAGACGATAGAATCGCATCGATTAAATCCAATACTTAGTACATTATAGGCTTGTTAAAGAAATGAGCTATTCTTTTCCAACATTACACGTATGCTATCGACGTAATATCAAATTATTGAAAGCCAGATAATAATAGGGTTATAAATGATTATATTTTACGTCGATACCAGCATGGATACACTGTATACCATACATCTACGGCATCGCTATACCTATTCAAGGCCTCATGAACAGACAGAACAGCATACTATATCATTTACAAGACAAAACGTTACTAAATGGCTGCAGTGCCTGTCAGTTGTTGTACTTCCAAGAGATTTTTAAATTTGTCACAGTGACGGTAAAATCTATCTAATTCATTGCTTCAAACTTTCAGGTTTCAAGATGTTCACATAACTAACTGTAAGAATCGTAAGTTGCACAGGATGATTCATTCAATAATAAAGATATTATGAGCTGAACCAAGATTTAAGATTGTTAAGCTATTTAAAGTAATCCATCTCGTGATGGCATCGCAATACGTATGTTCATCTCTACTAGTATTGACCTTTAGACCGATAATATAACCCAAGTCGTCAGCATATCATGAAGATATGCGTATTAATCTATCTAGTTTCTGTTATATATTATCATTAGCATTAGGACCAATTAACTTCCATCTTCCAAATTACCCATACACTTGGTATTGGCTAAGGAAAAGGAATAAGAATTATCTATTCGATTACAATTGTTCATCAATATCAATTGATCTCCAATGATCTATCGTATACAGTACACTTACCAAAAGGACAAAGGTAGCTGTCAAATAAGACTGCATTTTTTTACCGAATCCTATCCGTTCTCTCGGTACCCTCCCTAGTCATGTTAGAAATCTAGTCCACAATTTATAATAATCTAAGCGTATCTACCTAATAAAGAGCGCTTAAACAACCTTTGTTAAAGTGTACAGATGACGATGGTCTAACTATGCCCACATAAATTAGCGTAGCGTGATAATACAATGCACTCAATAAATGCTAACTACAACGCCTCATTAACGACTTATTGTAAGCGCATATTCTCTACTCTAATCAATATCATTCACTAGCTTTAAATAACAACAAGATCGCCGTACAAATGAAACAAACTGTAAGGAATTTCATATTC